CTATAAATTGAGTCAGATTAAGTATCTATCTGGTCGAAAACTGGCTTGTTTTGGGATAAGCTTCTTCTATAGTACAGCACTTATCCTACTGAGAATAAGCCTTTCGAATATGTTATAGAGATAGGAACGAAACAGGTCTGTAACTTTTTGACTGGTTGTAATCCCTACCTGGCTTGAGTAGTGTTACTATTCTCGATTTAATCTACATTTTCGGTATTATCAGGCCTTAGCGACTAAGATCTACCCAAAACATCTGATCTGATCTGATTTTTGAGTGGGGGAGAAATTTAATATTATATCCTATAAAATTAATTTTTATAAACTGCAAATATTCTTTTACATAGGCAGCACATCTAATTACTAACTGAAAAAAAAATACATTTCTCTAAAAGTTAAATTCTTTCTTATTAGGAGAAGTGAGGCTGAGATTGCCATTGAAATTTATCCGCCCTAACCGTCGCACTTACACGTAACAAACGACTCACTGATTGCGGTTTAACCCATTTTTGCCTTGCCAAATGGTAGCTCGGCTTAACGCGGACGATTTGATATTGTTAAAGTGCGACCAGACAAATTCTCGACATTTGTGTGCTTTATGGAATCCGCGCCGTTTTTTTCTTTTGATCCCTTACCATTACCAGGAACTACGCTATGCCATCCAAGTTTGCATATTCTGAATAAATTTTGCATATAATTTCCTATTCGGAGGCCCTTTCTTTTCGCGCTTGTCTGATTTAAGCGTCGGGGTGATTATAATTTCCGAAATGTGTAAATAAAAAGTTTAAAATTAAAATGTTCATCCCTTGTCAGCCGGCAATTTACTTGGTGTTGGGTTTTTTGAATATAAATTTGGTGGTTGGGTGCACTAGAGTTTCGAGCGGCAACATAAATATTTTTATTAGAAAACCTAAATGGAGAGCTAGAACGTATGAATATGTGTTAATGTTTATAATATACTAGTAAAGCCCAGAATTTCTAATTTCGATTTAATATAAACAAAGATTTTTAAAAATACTTTAGCCGAATTGTTGTTGAAATATTTTTCATAAAAAGAAGTTTTATTTTTAGGAATCAAAATTAGGTCTTGATGTTTGTCTTAATGAATTTCGCCGCAAGGTACATAGGAGAGCCATAATTATTTACCTTGTAAGCAACACAGTTAGGATTGTAAGCTATGCTTCTCTCTTTGTTATAGAGCTGAGTGTAAACTTGCTGGAATTTAATTATTCCCTGTACACAACATTATGCTCAAAAGGATAATCCATAAGTTAAATTGCGCAACACCCAACGGCGATAACCGAAACATGGTACTCACTGGTAGCTGCTGGTGTTCTGCTTCTGGGGCCCCAGGTCTCCTAACTAAAGGAGTTAGCTACTAACTTCACTTCTTGAAGAGAGAGGCACAGTTGTGTTTTTAAATATTGATATCAGTAATTTCTTTTACTTGTTGGGTCTACGCTAACACTGAGCAATACGCAACATCACAGTAAAAGATTTGGGAGATCAGTTGGCTCTCACACAATCTTCCCATGCATGTAGGGAATTCTCAACTTAATTTCTGAACTAAGATAGGCACAAGTCAGAGTCGATCTTGAGTCCCAAATTCAGAAGACTTCAATAGTGACTTATCCGAAGTAATAACAAAGTTCCCATCCATGATCAACCACTCTGATTTCGAAAGACCAACATCGAATGCCGAATTCAGCATAAGCTGTGATATTACCTGCAAGTCATAATGGGCAAAGTCTTTCCATAGATATAAGAAAGTGACTAACTGATACGAATTCAGGAAAGATCCGGGCAAGCTGTAATAATGAAATATGGCCGAACAGGCCCGTACTTTGCTTATAATTTAATTATTTGGGGTTTTGTTAGGAAAGATACTAAACAATATTTATTTATTTATGTATGTATTTATGTTTAAACCTAAAATAAAATTACAAATTATTTTTATTACCTTTTTAAATTACTTAAGATTATTCACTATCACTATCGCTATCATCGCCTGTTCTAATTATTATTTGTTCTATATTATTTGCAATATGGATATACGATTGTTCTGATTTTTCTATATGTTAGAATTTGCCCAACTTTGTGGAGGGATGTTAAAAACTTCCGTTTCTATAAGTTTGAGGACATTGGCGTTAACACGGGGAAAAACATTGTTACGACGAATGGCAGATTTCAGTTGGTGCCAAACATGTTCAATGGGATTAAATATACAGTGGCCAAACCAAAGAATCTTGAACACAGGTTGGTATAAAAGTATTTTCTATTACGGACCACAATTTTACCTAAACTTAAATTCTGAAATTTTAGATAATAATCTTGTTGCATTGTATGTTAATGACCACCCTCGGATAATCCCATTCAAAAGCAATTGGTCACTTTCTTATATCTATGAATGGACCATACTGTCAGTATATATTATGCAACAAGTTTAATCACGAGTTTGACATAGCACTAACGGGGTAAGTGCTTAATAAACGAGTGACTAAAAATGTTTATCTACGTGTTGAAAACAATACTTTTTCTACGCCTATTAATTCTTGGGTAAATTTTTGTGAGACAGTACCGAATGTATTTTAAGGTAGGGAGTTAACTGATGACAGGTACAGTTATTGAAAAAAGGTAACTAAATGAAATATAGTCGATAATACTCCATTTGCACTTTTTGCAGTTTTCGAATTTTTTTTATATTTTGGTTCATAATTTTGATAAACCGGAACGGCCTTATTGCCGTGGAAAAAGAAAATAAATCTCGAACGGCGGTTTATTATGCGCATTTTATTAGAAGACACAAAAACCAGGAAAACGCTTTCCATATTTCTGTGACGGTCGGGAACATTTTAAGAGGCGTTTTAAAAACGAGTTTCGAGGGAAAAGGTAAAGGGTGACACCTGGCCCGTTATAAAACACCCCGACCTGTCCGAATAAGAAGAAAAACCGCAAAGTTTCCCCGCCGAGCAGACCGTACTTCCTCGGAAAGTTTTTGTCGCGGTGGCGAGGTTTTTATTGATTCAAAGCGGTCGGCAAAGTGCCAGCGGGATTACGCTGGAAGAACTCGAGTTTCCAAAATATGCAAGGGCCGAATTAATTTTCTAACGTTAAGGCGAGCTGCAGTTGCGGTGAACTTTGAAAAAACGAAACATCCGACCGGGTTCTATATAAACATATTAACAAATTTAGCAGAAATTTGAGTTCCTTTGGCTAGAATACTATTGTTCAATTGATGATCAAAATTCAATAAATTCTATGCAATTTTATTCATTCAATTATAACCCGTAAGCAAATTAAAAAAATTAAAATCATCAGCGAATATTTCGCACTCAGAAGAGCGCCAGCAAGGTCATTAATTAAATAAAAAACAAGGGTTCAGAATAGGTCCTTGCGGAACTCCTGAAAGTAGAATTCTCGTATCATTCTACACCGTATATTATTGCCCTTTTATATGTAAAATATTAGATAAATATTACTTGAACTTTTTGTTTTCTCCAACGGATTAGGTAACTTGAAACTTGTTAAAGGACAACAGAGTATTATAATTTAAGTCGTCCAAAACTGAATAAATAAGTGAAAACTCCTTTTTGAGGTCTATTTGTACATATCAGTGTAGTGTCACTTCAGTGTCTGTGTGAAAACTAAAATATTAAAATCTTATTTGTCCGTGTCCGTTTCGAGATTCTTTTGAAGTCGATAATGGTAGTTTCTGTATTTCACTGACAACCTGTCGATTGGAATTTGCCATATATGAAAACCTAATAGAGTTCTATTTACAAAACTTCTGAATTCGTCCTGCGTCGATTGTTCTGGAATCGAACTTGCTGATGTTTCAGTTCCAGTTAAGCTCGGAAGAAGCCAAAGTTTTGTAAATAGTATTACAGGAGCCTATAGAAGTTCCTTTGAAAAACTAATACAGTTGATACGGAATGATTCAGAATTGTATGACTTATGTACTGCAAAAAGGAAGGAAATGAGTGAGATTGTTATCGCAACTCTTATACAAAAAGGAACCTCGATATAATATTTCAAAAAGCTGTAGATTAAAGCAGTATAGCTACTAACCAATTAACTCCTCAAATACGGTGCAATACAACTAACACAACAATCACAAACTTAAATAAACAAATTCGGGTTTCATCATAAAATACCAGACGAATGGCGTGTCGCACGACAACTTTACTTTTTAAAAAAGGACAAAAAATTCCACCAAACTAACGGGAGATAAATCCACTCACCACAACACTAAAGTCAATACCTATATTACATTGGCAGAAAAACCACAAGGATTCAGATCTGGAAGATTTTGTACAGACGCGGTGTTCATCATAAGACAAATAACTAATAAATCCGTCGAATATAATAACAGATCAGCCTACATGTATTTTATCGATCTAATAAAAGCCTTCGATCGAATACAACTAGATGACGTTATCCATAGACCATTGAAAATATTTATTCCGAAAACAAGCTTCAGGCTAAAATAAATGGCGAACTCACCGAACAAATAAACAAGTTTTAAAACATAAACGGTTCAAAATCAAAAATAATATACTACGCCGACGAGATTTCTTTACGAACTCTATAAAACAGCAAAACAATTCAACATGAGAATCTCAATCCTTAAAACAAAATGCGTGGCAACATCCTATTATTCCAATAAACTTGAAATCGAGAAAAAGATTGTTCAACAGGAAATGAAATTCCAACCTTGGAATCGGAATATGCTGATTCGGAGACATCGAAGAAGAGTTAGTTTCAAAGTCAAAGAACTAAAGCAACAAAAATAATATAATATAATGTAACGAATAAATAATATAGTATTGTCGAGCAAACATGGCGAACAAAATGGCGAATACACAAAACAACTATAAGACCAATAATGATATATATAGTCGAAACCCGCTCCGAAACATCGAAGACCAAAATAATGCTAGAGTCCACGGAAATTAAAATAATCCGCAGATGGAAAGATAGAATGGAACGGACACATTGACGAAATGACCGCAGAAATAATCGTCAAAGTAACGAGGGACAAATCACTATCGGAACGAAGAAGCACCGGCAGACAGCTACCACATAATTTGAACCAGGCAGAAGAAGGAAGAAGAAGTATGACTTATCTCACAAAAAGTATATGGATACCGGTTTCAAAAATAATATCATCCAAGCTTTATGTACCCATATTCTATTCTTTATATGATTTTCTTCTACTTCCTTGCTATAGCAATAATTCCCAAATCTTCATTAGTGAAACGAGTCATCTTGGATAGGTTTAACTACGGATGTGTGAATTGGTATCACTGATCGATACTGATTGGCACTGATACTGGGCTGACATGGCACTGATATGTATAACTAACATACTACTAAGCTACAGAACTGTCGCAAACATTTTAGTGTCAACGCGACCTTCAAGATGACAGTGAGGTTTCAATCCAACTCAATTTCACTTAATCACGCAAGGTTTTTGCTTTAAACCAATTTCGGAAAATGAAAACCATCAATCGTAGCGTATACCGCGGATATGAAAACCTTCCTAGAAGAATTCGCATGGAAACACCTCCAATGGACATACGCCCACCCACAAGTGTTCTTCCTACCTCAGTGGCAAAATGACACCACCATCGACCTATTCTATCTGGTGTACCGGACACTATATTGGTGTTACTTCTGGATGGTAACCTATTTTTACATTAGAATTAGCTGGAATAGTCCCGTGTGGATTAAGTTGAACGCGTTCTATTATTACACGTTCTGGGTTTACACTGCTTGTAGTTTGTGGGCCACCCTGTCACTCGTAACAGTAACCGCGAAGTACATCCAGCAAATTAACTCCGAAGAAATCAACGACGTCGAGCATCGAAGGTGGTACCAAATCCAATTGCTTATCAACTCCGCGTCCATGGATTCAGCTCTCGCCATGGCCATCGGATACTGGACGCTAGTGTATCTCTATCAAAGGGTCGCCTATGGGGTGGGTGCCTCGCTCTTACACTTATGGACTCCGCTTTTGGCACTAGCCGATTTCATGATAACTAGCATGCCCGTCAAACTGCTACACGTGTATCCGTCACTCATATTGGCAGTGGCTTACGGTGTTTTCTCTTTCTGCCATTACTTGAGCGGATCCAAGTCGATATTCGGGGAACCTTACCTATACCAAATTCTGGATTATCGAAAGCCCTTAACTGCAATTTCGGGACTTGTGGCGATTTTAGTTTATATCGTGCTCGGCAGATTCGTCGTATATTGGCTCTATCGTCTGAGGTGCGCACTTTATGCAAAGTATTATTTCAACAGGGGCGGAGTTACAAGGCACCTAAATGAAAAATTATCAACTAATTATAATAATGAATAAATAATTTAGTTTGTTAATAATTTAATTAAAATAAAGAAATAAAGTAGAAATAAATATTTAGTTTAATTGATAAAGTTGACTAATTAATTTCAATTTTAACTTGTAACATGATAGCACTTAATATCTTAGTTATAGCCACTTTTCAATAATGGGGGACCCATTTTCCAGTGTTTTTGAATTTGCGGCGCACCTTATGCGTCTTCCCGTTCAAGAATTTTTTCGTTAGCGTAAACGGTTTTCGATTAATGATCTTTCTCTTGGACCCTTGCAAACGCGATTTTTATTTTTTTTTAAAGACTTCCCGACACCGTAGCCCCCCCCACCCCCCGCGAATTTCAATTGGTTCCGTGAGAGGACCAAATAGCTTTAAATTTTGGGACACTCATCGTGTTTGATAGAGATATTCAAAAAACAGTCGAAAATTGAAAAAAAAAAGACTTAGATGAAACCGTTCCGAAGTTATTGTCGAAAATGGGGGTCTCCTAGGACCCCCGTTACCGAGATATAAAATATTTATACGAGCGTAGATACTTTCGAAAAATTGGAGAAACAAAAAATGTGTTTTGGTTATATACTACACTAATATTAGCAACACTGAAATAGCTCTTAAGGAAAAAAAAACGGAAATATATTTTTTTAAATGTTTAAAAGTGTACCCCCTACTAAATAATTAAGAAATTTTCTGTGGGATACAGTAAATGGGGAATATTAAAAAACACCTTTTTTATCATTACTTTGCATTCCAAATAAGGGGACTTAAAGCCAAGTCCAAAATTTCATTTCAAAGAGCCAACATGTCAAGTCTTGAAGCGGTATTCGAATTCGAGTTGCTCATTTCTATGCCACCGTTTAATAAATACAGTTTTAAAAATAGACCATTGCATTATCGACGCTATTGTCCGGAACATTGGTTGTATAGATCGTTAAAAACCAAACCCGGCTCTAATGTAACCTGTTGGTAGTCACAACAAACGACATCGATTTTCCACAAATACAAATATTTATTCTATTCCGCTGATGATGATTATAATCCCTAAATGTAAATATGTCTGGTTAATGTTGAAATCTATTGAAATTCAATTATAGGTAAAAGTTTGTCTTCTCTACGCTACGTCGTTGAGATTTATTAATAAATGAACAAAACACCATAATTAATCGATCCGACGCCGGCGCCGCTGCTTGAGATATCAGTTTATTAATGGCTGACGTGAATAACATACTGTTGCCACTATTTTTTGATTATCTTTTTGAAATCTGAGTATTTGTATTGTATTCTTATGGACTAAAGTAGTCGGGGTATAAATCGTTAGGAATCCATTAAATTAACAATATTTAAAAAAAAAAACACATTTAAGTGTAAAATATTTTTTTAAAGATATATTTCAGACAATTTTCAAATATTCGTTCCCATTTTAGAACTCAATATAAATTAAACAGTGGTTAAATAGAAGCGCTTTTGAAGTACTGTTACCCAACCATCTACTGCAAGTTCAGTTTGAGGAAGTAATTGGATAAGTATTATTTTTCTACAAGACTTAGCTAACATCAAAAAATAACATCAAAAAGACAGAGACGCGCCCACGAATTCCTCAGAAGAACATCTTCCAAATTTACAGCAAAAACCTGCTAAGCTACAACAAGAAGGTCGTAAGAATAATGGTAGATCTACTGACGGGCCACTGACTGCTTAAGAGGCAACTGAGTTTAACGGGAGTGGAGAAAAAAGCACTGAATACAAATTCTGCCAAGAAAAGGAGGAAACAAACACATACATACCATGTCAATTTAAATACCTATCATCTGCTGGGAGTAACCAAACCAGAGCCAATGAACTACACCAAGTAGCGACTATCGAAGCTATGGACTCTAATTAAAGATGTGAACCTAGATAAAGCTCTATAACTATTGAGATGCTCTGGGCCACAGTTGAATCTGAATCTGCCATTAGCGAAAAAACAATTAAAAGAAAAGTCACAAATGGAAATTTGTACAATGATGTTTAGGAAAGGAAATCGTGAAGATCAAAAGTAACCAAAACGGTCAGTAGGGACTCAGATTGCTGTTAGAGATAAACGAACCAACACAACTTTTCTCATATTCTGCCTTAACAACAATATCTTTAAAACACTATCGTTGAACAGATGGCAACCTTCAACTGCCTGGGTGTCCAAATACCAAACACCAGGAACATCAAGGAAGGTGTCAAAAGCGTGATGCGGCCGATATTGATACGTAATAGTAGCTGACACCGCAGAAACATGATTGAGGTCTGACTGACAACAGTGGACAGAATTCAGAATGAAGATATCGGGGAAAAATGCAAAATTCAGAAAATTAAGTCATAGGTCCAAAAGAAGAGGGCAGAATAAAGTGCACACGCATTAAGAATCAATGAATACCGGTTGCTGAGGAAGATTCATGACAACGTATTTTCAGGAAAACTAAGTGCGTGTCGGCCAAGAAACAGGTGGAAGGCAGCCCTGGATTAAACAGTTCTTAGACCTAATTACAATTATAACAATAATAATAATAATAATAATAATAATAATAATAATAATAATAATAATACGAACAATCAAAACCCGTAAATCCGAGCGCCTTGCGGAAAGAGGAAGAATAGCGAAACGGTAATATGGGTTTACAAAGGTGCGATCGACAATACAAGAAATCAAGGACACTATAGAAAAGCGAAAAAAAATAAATCTGGAATGCTTTGGTAACACTAGACCTTCGCAACGCTTTTAACTCTGCTAATTGGAATTTAATACTGCAAAAACTAAGGAAGAGGAGTCTTTTTTGATAAGCATGGAAATTTTGGGGAACATATGAGGAGGGTTACTGCAAAGGCTGTGGACAGACTTGGTAAATTAGCACGACTTATGCCAAATATAGGGGGTCCCTCTAGTGGGAAAAGAAGGGTACTGTGTGGGGTGGTGCATTCAGTACTATTGTATGGAGCACCTACATGGACAGAAGCTCTAGAAGTTAAAAGGAACTCATGGAAAGAACCCAACGTAGGGCCCTAATACGAGTGACTGTTGCATTTAAAACGGTCTCGGCTGTGGCACTGCAGGGTATAGCAGGAATACCACCAATAGATCTGATGGCAAAAGAGAGGAAAAAGATGCAAGGTGAGACTTACTCGGACGTTAAAGAGAGAACAATGGAGAAATGGATGGAATAATACCGCACATATAGGCCGGTAGACTAGACGGTTAATCCCGGATATAAATAAATGGGTTTAATGTGAACATAGAAATTTAAACTACTATATTACCCAAGCAATCTCAGGTCACGGAATGTTTAAGACATACACCAAACGCTTTGGAAAAGAGGTGGAGGAACCCTACACGAAATGTAACAATACAGATAAACCTGAGCATACAATATTCCTTTGTAAAAGATGGAGACTGCTTAGAGAAAGGACAATAAAGAAAGTAAACACGCGGCTAACGCCGGATAACCTGATAGACATTATGATAAAATCTAAAGCAAACTGGGACAACATATATAAAATGATTAAACTAATATTAGAAACCAAGGAGAGAGAACAAAGACTAAGCCAGAACAGGGTATAAACAAGCAAGACGTTACAGTTACATAAAGTAATATCAGCAATGATGGTTCCGTGGCGACCACATAATGATTATTTAACGAATAAAATTCGTAAACTCATGTACAAATTTTATCTTTAAGAGAATTTTTAAATAAAAAACTTGTTGTGATTGTTTATGAAGCGTTTGTTGAATCACTAATTGGATATGGGATTCTCGTTTGGGGAGGCTTACAGAACAACAGATTAAATGAACTCAATATCATACAGAAATGTATTCCCAAACTTATTTTTAAACAAAAGAAACGATATCCTTCTCAAATGTTATTTTCGCAAGAAATTTTAAATATTAGATTTATATACATAATAACTTTATGTGAATATCTTTATAAGGAGGAGGCTTTGTGGAATCTCCTTGCCCATAACTATTTGACACGTGGCAGAACAAACAGAAATATTCAAGTATCAACTAATTACCATGATATAAATTTAAAATTTTATACATATATTGGTCCCAAAGTAAATAATATTTTAGCAGAAGCGATAAAATTTGTTACTAATTCTAGAAAATATATTCAACTTTGTAAATCCTTTTTATGGCATAACAGGGAAAGATGGCAATCTCTATTTGAATGACAATACTGCACGTATTTTTGTTGTAATAGATTTAAATGTTGGGAGTATTATTTAAGCTGTATTGTACATACTATTTAAGGAAATTATATAAAATAGAATATTATAATTTTTTGTAAAAATCAATATAACATAGGGCACATACAAATGCTTCTTGCATTTAGGTGCCATTTATTGCGAGATACATGTGATGCTATTGTACTTGTTGCGTTTTGTTTGGTTTCATGTAAATACTGTGGGTAAATAAATAAATTTAAATAATAATATGAGTAACGTCAATATAATCGTCTTATCTGCTAAATTCTGAAAAATTGGGAGTTATGCATAACTTAAATAATAAAACTTTTAGTTCTGAAAATAATATTTAAAGCAACGATGAATTCTTCCTGCAGCGGTTGTTGTCGAATAGAACTTTTTAAGCTTCTTCAGAGCCTATGGCATATTCTTTGAAAAAATAGCAAACCATGAATGAAATAAAAAAGTATTATATGTTCATATATTGTTATTTCATAAACATTCGTTATTTTTGGAGCTTAAATAAATGCTCGAGTAGGAAATAAATTTTTTCTTTTCTTTTCTTTTAGCTACTGCAAACTTTGCCGAAGTACGATGACCCACCCCCCCTTTCAATTATTTCGAAGTACTTTAGATGACGTCGCCCCGCCCACAGAAGGAAAACACACAATTTTTGTAAGTACACACTCGGGTCCGAAAAAAAAAAATCAGTCGATACCTTATTTGCTGTCGCCGCCGCCTCGAGCACATTCCGCCATTTCGACGGTCTTTTCGATATCGCGAAACCCCCAAAGATAAAACTTATTCGATTTCCAGCAAAAGATAAATATTTTTTCGGCACTCGTCGCCATCCCTCGGTCCGTATTTCCTCGGGGACGCGTTGCAAAGTATAACTCAAAACATTTCAATATCCCGCGACGCGATGTAAAATTTTATGGTAATGCCGCGGCAGTATGAATAAGGCAGGTAAAAGCAAGATGCCGAACAAATGCGAAGTAATAATCCGAACGTGAATTTTTCGCGAAACTATTTCCAGATTTCGGCGATTTATTTTCATGGCGGGGTAGTTCCTTCGCGGCTGCGAAATCGCTCTAGCGCAAGATGTCGTCGATCTGGTCGCGAATTGATGTGTCGAACTTTTCCATTTCTTCGTATTGCAGATGTGCATTTTTATCCACGAGACTCTAAAAGAAATTTCCATGAGGCTGACTTCCTTAAACTCAACTGACCGAAATGCTTTGTAGTAGTCATCTAGTAGATACAAATTTCAACCAACAAAGTTTTTTTTTTCTAAAACCTGCTGTCCTGCCTTGTGACGATGTTCATAATAAACTGCTGATGTCGTTATTTATCGTCGTTATAGGCGAAGAATGTGGCGTTGTTTTTAAACTTACACTTACTTAACAGCTAGGACTTTTGTTTTTAAGGTTTTCGCCTGTTGTACAGGGTGTTCAAGATTTTAAGTGCTATATTCACAAATTAACAGGTTTCTTAAATTTGCAGCTATCGACTTCAGATCTGGCAAATCAAATCTCGCAAAGTAGTTTTTAAAGATTTTTGAATTTTTTTTTTATATATTTTGACTTTCAGAAAAAAAAATCTCTAAAACTTTTATTTCTGGCATTTTTTCCATTATATACAGAGTTTTTCAATTATAGACAAAAATCTAAACAACCCTGAAAATCGTTCTTTTCGCTTTTAATCAAAATTCGTGAAAAATATGGCCAGTGTCGTAAACCACATCGAGAGCTACAATTTTTGTATTTACGGTTTTCGTATATCACATACGCTTTTCGAGATATTTGAAAATTTGCAAATGAAAATCACCATTTCTCACCCACAAACTAGACTCGATGATGTCATTTACTATGACCACGTACTGCATGGTTTCAGAAAACAAGTATTTTTTTGAACGCCACTTACTCTATTAGAAAAGATCATATACCAGGAAACGTGGGAGATCCAGGGCTATAACCTCTATTTCGATTATTGTTTGAATTATATATAGAGTGTGTCGTTTATGGGCAAAAGAATCTAGAACATCCTAAAAATTTCCGGTTTTGACGGTAAATTAATGCGGATAAATGAAAAACTGTTAAAGATGCACTAATTTGGCTTGAACAGTATAGTAAACCTTGTCGAGAGAGATCATATAGCGGGAGCGAGATATTTGAAAATATATCATTGGAAGTCGCTAATATTTGTAAAAAAAAATAATATTTACCAAAGTTTGCCGTAACTTTGAAATTCAGCGAGACGTGGGACAATGCATCTCTCTAGGACAAGAAAGCGCTAAGCGACTACTTTTTGAAATACAGCGACGATTTTTCGAAATCAATCTTGTTTCTTCTTCTTCTTCTTCTTCTTCTTCTTCTCCGATAATACAACTTATCGCGAGTCTTGGTCGCGTTTAAGATCATTCTCCAATATTGTCGATCTGTTGCATATACTTCTTAATATTTTAAACACACCAACAATTTATTTATTTTACTTTGATTTAGAGTCCAGGCTTCACTGCCAGTCTAATTAATGATTTACATAATTTTACTTTTGTTTTTCTAGAGATGAGTTTAGACTTAAAATAAGTATGGTCCTGCATAGAAGGCTCTGTTTCCTGCTAGAATCCTTGCTGCTACATCTATCTCTATATTGTTTAACGACTCCCAAATTGTGATCGTTGATAGTGATGTTTTATCTGATTCTTTGTCTGGTATTCTTTGACTCTATCATATATTTGGTTTTTGTCTTTATTGACATTGAGCCCTATTGGTGATACAGCGCTTCCAAATTATGTAAACACATATTTTACATCTCTCGTTGTTTGTGCTATAGTGTCGACGTCATCTACAAATGCTAATATTAATTTTGTTTCTCTTGCTGTTATGTCAGTATCCAAGGCCAGGATACACCCTCATCACTGCGTACTCCAACACTAAGTTAATAATCAAGGGGGAAAGTGCGTAGTTGTTATTACCAGACATTCGGATAGCTGCAACCAATTTTTTAGGGATTCCTAGTTCAGTCATCGCTATCCATAACGCACTGCGGTCTATTGAGTCTTAGGCTTGCTGAAAGTCTAGAAATTTACAAGTTAAATTTCCAAGCAGCAGTCTTATAGAAAACACTTGGTCCAGTGTTGACCTTCCGCCTCTAAATCCACGTTGATAATACCCTATTATGTTTCGAGAATAAGGCGTTAATTTTTTAGTAGAATAATGCGCATGACTTTGTACGTCGTATGCAGCAAAAAGATTCCTCTATAATTTTTGCAATAGTCTTTTGTACCCTTTTTATGTATA